TCGTTCTGCCATTAGGGTCAATTTGCATATTACCCTTTTATTATATAGAATGATTTTACCTTTTTCATTGCAAAATTGCCTACAGGCAATTTTTTATTTGGCAAAAATGTTTGGGGGAAAAATGCTCGCAGCAAAGATGTCTATGGAAAAGCTGATTATGGCAGAAGTACCTAGAACCAGCGCAAACAGGGAGCAGGGAGAGGCTAAATAACTTGACCAAGATCAGACACAATGAGTAATGTGAACAGTGAGAGTGCTGCAAACCTGCTGGCCTGTCTGACTCCCATGACCAAGTAAGCTCTTCACGCTTCGGTCTCCTTTCTAACACTATTGCTCTGCAACATCAAACACAGAGTTCATATCACAGACACAGTGCTGTCAAGCTAACTTAAACCTGCTACACCAATACTAGCGCCTATATGAGTGAATTAAACTTTTGTTAATGAAGGAAACTCATGTTCTAATGAGGGCTCTGCACTGACAAGCTGCCACTCATTCTGACCCCAGAGAAAGGTGCTTTTATCTACATCACTAAGAATGTCAAGGAACTCAAGACTGAGACTGAGTCTTCCAGCCTCCACTCCTTCCCACCAGTAGTGAGTCCTGTCTCACTGCTTTCTACTGGAGAATGACATTTTAAAAAATTTTTTAACCAAATTTACTTATTTTTAAAAAAGAGAATCTGAGTTGGGAACAATACAAAAACACATGTGTAATAAACTACCAAATTCAGGGTAATGGTTGTCTCTAAAGGGGAAGGCAGGAATGAGCTACAGAAGGACTATCAGAGCCTCATCTGTATTTATAATTTCTTTTCTTTAATTGTGGGAGTGGAGGATACCAGTGTTTTTTTGTTTTTAAATATTTTTATTGATTTCAGAGAGGAAGGGAGAGGGAAAGAGAGAGAAACATCAATGATGAGAGAGAATCATTGATCGGCGGCCTCCTGCATGCCCCCCACCGGGGATTGAGCCCAAAACCCAGGCATGTGCCCTTGACTGGAGTCAAACCTAGGACCCTTAAGACCGCAGGCTGACGTTCTATCCACCGAGCCAAACTGGCTAGGGCACCAGTGTTCTTTATATTATTTTCTACACAGCTTTTGAATTTCACCAGTATTTTAAGTTTTGTTGCTGTTTTTATTCTTCACCTAAGGATATTTTTTCCATCGATTTTTAGAGAAAATGGAAGGGATGGAGGAAAGAAGGCGGTGTAGAGAGAGGGAGAAGAGGAGGGGGAGAGAGGAGAGAGAGAGAAAGAGAAACATTGATGTGAGAAACACATCAATTGGTTGCCTCCCACACACTCCCCAAACCTGCAACTAAGGTACATGCCATTGACTGGGAATCGAACCCATGACCCTTCGGTGCACAGGACGACGCTCTGTAACAACTGAGATACCAGCCAGAACCAATCTCACTTTAAACTGCATTCCCTGTTTACTAGGTGAACCTGAACATCTTTAATAAGTTGCTTCTCTTTGGCATACTGTCCATCCTTTTTGTGGGTATATTTATCAATGTCTTAGTGTTTTTACCATCAGTTCCCATGATCTATTTATAGGTTGAATTATAAGCCTTTCATGATATTTTTGCATATTTCTCTTGCATCTTTAAGGGGTAATCAAGTAGATGCTTACCTCCTCTAACATCATTAAAAAAAAAATACTGTTGCCCAGCCAGTGTGGCTCAGTGGTTGAGCATCGACCTATGAACCAGGAGGTTACAGTTCTATTTGTGGTCAGGGTGGGTGTGAGCTTGATCCCCAGTGGGGGGCGTGCAGGAGGCAGCCAATCAGTGATTCTCTCTCATCACTGATGTTTCTCTCTCTCCCTTTCCCTTTCTCTCTGAAATCAATAAAAATATATTTTTTAAAAATACTTCTGAGAGAGACAATTTGACCTGAATGCTTATCCTATATGTACACATTTTGGACACAGAATTTCAAAAACGATCTAATACTAAAATCTTATCTCTGTGCCACAAAATATTGTCAATGTTACTTTTAATCCCTTATAACATTTTTTAATTTACATAAAACATTCACATTAATCAACATATTTTTGGATTCATTCTCCCATTACAGTTTTATTTTCATTATGAAAGAAACGCCAGGGGCTGAAGGTTCACTGATGGCAACCCCTGAAGAAGAGAAATCTATTTGATTTCTTTCTCTCTGGGGAAGGGGACCCACCTCTCCAACACAGCGAAGGGAGGCATACATAAAGTAAGTAGCGATACACAGCGTAGTATGAGAACAGACTATAGTTAGTCAGCAAAGTGACTATAATCAACCATTGTGGACCAGTAGTTTTATTGCTAGCTTTACCCATTGGCCAGATAAGTTTCTACTGAACGAGTACAAAACAACGTTTTACATAAATGTTAAAGGCACACTTTAAAATTAAATACCCATTGCCTTTTGAAGTTATTTATTACATGTTCTTACAAGCTAATATCTTTTTAAAGTATGATACTTTATAAAACACTGTGTAATATGAAGTGAGAATTCTCGTGATCCGTCCGCAATGTGTTAAGCAAATACACAAATATTTATTGAATATTTCTATATATAAGGGCGGAAACAGAGATAGCATTTCAGAAGTAACTCTCAGAATTAAACAGATTAGAGTACATCTTTATTGAACACTGACACACACAAAAATTACCTTGCAAATAATCTGCCAGGTCTCCACCATTGCAATACTGATATATAAAAGAAAGAGTAATTAAAGTAAGGACATCAGTTCAAGATTAATCCAATCTACTACCAGTTAATTTTAATTAAAAATTCATTTGTATGTAATATAAGTCTAGTTTGAAAAACATAAGTATAGAATCAAAAAATTTTAAGACTATTTTCCTTATAAATAGAATCTAAATCACTGAATCAACTTTATTAATTCAAAATTTCAAATAATTATATACTCTCAATTTTAAAGTGCATATTAATCAAAAGGAATTGAAATAAATTAAGCAGAAAATTATATACTACCTACCTCCATCACCAGGAAGACAGAGTTGGGTAATTCCTGAAAAGTAAACAACATAAAACATCATTTAGATTAGAAAAAAAATTAAGCACAAATTTAAAAAGTAACTTTAACAAAAATACTATACTTGTTCCTTATTAAACAAATAAAAATAAATCACAATATCCACTAGCAAGTGAAATTTTAAATCCCCACCACAGTGATTTAAGCATCTCAGCTTCAAAGCCAAATCAAATTTTGCTGACACTAATGTAGTCTTCAAGAAGTTCAATTCTGGTCGTGGAAAGAACGAAAGAAAAACTCATCTTTTGGTCATGGTTATGGTTATGGTTATGATAAATTTACCATAACCATAACCATAACCAGAGTCCTCAGGGAAGCACTTCTACTTTGAAGGTTCATGATCTGGAACAATGACTTGGTAATCCTCCCTCCAACACTAAATGCACAGCTTCTGGAATACATTATCCAGGATACTTCATTTTTGTTTTTCTGGTTTTTATGTTTATTTGGAGGCAATCCCATTATCTGGGAATTTTTGGGAATTCTCTTGAAAACATTTCATCACATCTTGGTAACAAACTGATTTGAGAAATTTTACCCAGTCTCTCAAATTAATATAGCTCCAGTTCTGTTGCTTGATTAAGCAATTCAATGACTGATTAGCTGATTCTTCAAAAACAATTTTTATAATGTTAATTAAATTTTAAATTGGGCTTCCGCTTCCGTATGGCTTAACTTGAGCCACTGTTCAAATGTGACTCAAGAGACAGCCCTTCCAAGTAGCACTTGGCTTCACCAAGATCCTAAATTCAAGAGTAAGGTATTCTATGGGACTCTCCCCCTCCTCATATGGGAGTCCGTTCTGTGGGACTCTTCCCCCTCCCGACATGGGAGTCTGTGCAGTGAGATTCTTCCCCTCCCCACGTGGGAGTCTGTACTTGTTCTTCAATAAAGCTCCACCTCTGCTATACAAAAAAAAGAGAGTAAGGTACTCTATGGAAAAAGGAGCAATAGGGCAACAAGAGGCAGGTGTAGGGCAGTATTCCTGAACGTGAGGCCCACGGCGAATTATGTGGTACTGGCTCACAACGAAATAACTACAGAAATTAAGAGTAAGAATTGTTTACAGTTTAAAGTAATTTAACAAAATAATTTTATGTCTGTTAAACCTAATAATAAAAACTATGGACCGTTTGTAGGGCCTTTTACATTTCATTCTCAAAGTTCATTTTTATTGGATTTTATAAAAGTACTAGAGTCCCGGTGCACAAAAATTTGTGCACTTGGGGGGGGGGGCCTCAGCCCGGCCTGTGCCCTCTTGCACTCTGGGACGCCTCGGGGGATGTCCACCTGCTGGCTTAGGCCTGCTCCCTGGGGGATCAGGCCTAAGCTGGCAGTCAGACATCCCTCTGGCAGCCCGGGAGCCCTCGGGGGGATGTCCACTTGCCAGCGGGGAGCAGGCCTAAGCTGCAGTCAGACATCCTTAGTGCTGCTGAGGAGGCGGGAGAGGCTCCCACCACCACCGCTGTACTGGCAGCCATCAGCATGGCTTGTGGCTGAGCAGAGCTCCCCCTGTGGGAGTGCACGAACCACCAGGGGACAGCTCCTGCATTGAGCGTCTGCCCCCTGGTGGTCAGTGTGTGTCATAGTGACCAGTCATTCCCAGTCTTTCTGCTGTTAGGATCAGTTTGCATATTACCCTTTTACTATATAGGATAGAGGCCTGGTGCACGGGTGAGGGCTGGCTGGTTTGCCCTGAAGGGTGTCCTGGATCAGGGTGGGGGTCTCACTGGGGTGCCTGGCCAGCCTGGGTGAGGGGCTGATGGCCATTTTCAGGCTGGCCACGCCCCACGGCAACCCAAGCTCCCAGACTCTCCTTTTCTTCTTTTTTCTTTTTTTTTCAACGCCTCCTTGAGCAGAAGCCAGGGCAGGCCGGAAGCAGGTATCTTGGGATTTATTTATCTTCTATAATTGAAACTTTGTAGCCTTGAGGGGCAGGAAGCTTGGCTTTCTCAATCGCTGGGGGCAACCCAAGCCTCCTGCTCGCTCCAGCTCCGTGGCCACCGCCATCTTAGTTGGGTTAATTTGCATACTCGCTCCTGATTGGCTGGTGGGCGTGGCTTGTGGGTGTGGCAGAGTGACATTTATTTGCATCTTTCTCTTTTATTAGTGTAGATCAGTTCACACAGATTAGAAATAAAAACTGGTTTCTCACAACAGCTACTTCAGGGTGAACAGGCCGGCAGGGGGGTTAGTGAGGGACGACCAAACGACTGAACAGCAGGCTGTGTGAGGTGACCAGGCTGGCAGAGGGGCCATGAGGGGCAACCAAATGACTGAACAGCAGGCTGCGTGGGGCAACCAGG